TTAATAAAAGATTTTTACTTTTATTCATTTTTTTTTTCTCCAGGTTTTTCTCTATTTTTTTATTTCTCCAGGTTGCTCCAGCTGAGCTTGAGGACATTCTTCTTGGGCATCCGAATGTTGATGACAGTTGCGTTATTGGAATTCCAGATAAAATCTCTGGAGAACTTCCACGTGCCTACTTAGTGATAAATGACAGTTCACTTTCTGAAGAGGATGTTCATAATTATGTTAACGAACGCATTGCAGACTATAAAAGACTACGTGGTGGTATTGTTTTTGTAAGCAAGTTACCAAAGTCCCCCACAGGAAAACTTCTAAGAAGAGTTGTTAAAGAAGAATACCTTAACAGTTTACCTTCACAGCCTTAATTTTTTGAATTTTTAAAATGTTTAAAAGTTCTTTCAATAATTATTTGTAATTAATTAATCGACATGCTTTTAATTATTATTTTGTATATTCTTTAACTTATAATAATTATGCTCATTGCTTAGATTATAATAATTATGCGTATTGTTTTGTAATTTGCCTATTATATTATAATTATAAATATATGCAAATTATTATAATCTAGGCAATGAAATAATTATATATAATCATATTAATATGCATATTTTATATATTTGCAATTATGCTTATTGCATATTTTTTAAACAATTAACCATAAGTAACGTAATAATCAAATGAAATTAAGTTTAAAATATAATTTTATTCGATTCACCGGTGCCAGTTTCACTGTCGGTCAGCTTCGAGCCAGCTAAAAACTTAATTAAATACAGCTAATTACTGCTTTAAACAAATTTTAAATGAAAAGTTTTTTTTTATTTTAAAAGTAGTTTAAAGCATTAATTTATGTTTTTTTATCGCTTGTGTTGATTAATTTTTTTTAAGCATCTAATTTATAGATATTTTTTTTAATTTAATGTAATCGATCAATTCAATACCATAACAGTAAATATCCTAACGAGTATCACAACCAATGCAATTTAAAATGAGTGTAAATTTAATACTAATATTAGTATTATATAATATACATATATTTGAACTGCAAATAATACTAATATTATATTAGTATTATATAATATACATATATTTGAACTGCAAATATTTTGAAAGAATATTTTTGATTTTAACGACATATTTTTACGGGATCTACAGATTACGTGTGCATAATTAAGTGGTATAAGTAACCGCTATTTCAAACGAAAAAACTTAAGAATAATCGAAATAAATTGTGAGAGATAAAAAGTTAAACAATTGTTTGTTAAACGCAAAAGTTGTTAAACTATTCATGCGTGTATTTTTAACAAGCTGAGTAACCTTAAATCTAATTTAATTTCGAAAACCTTAATAATTTTTTCGCAAAAAAAATAAAACGAATTAATATTTATAACGAATAATATTTATAAATTCAAATAGAGAGAATCAAATGTTATTAAAATTTTATAATAAAGTTTAATATTGCAAATCTGTGCTTTAACGTTATACTCCAAGGATAAGATAGTTTAAAATCTAACAAATGTTTTAGTTTTTTTACAACTGTACTGTATAAAACTGTATAAAAATTATGAAAGGAAATTACCTAAAACTAAAAACGTTTTTCGTCACATTTTGGTTTTACATAAATAATGTCTACACCGGTAGATTATCAAACTGGTTAATCGATAAAAGTAACACTGCCATAGCTTGTCAAGGTGATAGCGAAAATATCATGTGTGATGCATATCAAGGAATTCGAATAAAGGATGCATTTTGGGGTCGTGATAACAAAGTTGACTGTCAAGTTGATAACCCGCTATCGCCCCTTACAGATACGCAAATGTGTTTTACATTAGATAAAGACTACGCATATAGAAAACTTGCTGAAGTTTGCCAAGGACAACAAACGTGTCAGTTTGAAGGAACTTCTTTGTATTTTGATACTGAATTATGCCCGCATATAAGAAAATATGCCCGAGTTAAGTACGAATGTCGTCAAATGAGTGGAATGAAAAAATCAGACCTTTTAAGAGCAGTTAAACGTAAGCCATTTAAAGGCTCAAAACGAACAATTTTGAAACTTAAAAAGCATAAAAGGAAAAAGACGTTTCACGATAGTTTCAAAAATATTACACATTCTTTAAACAAAACTTTGTTGTAAAATGTAAATTATTTCAACAAGCTTTTTCTTTTTTTTTATCAATTTGTTTCTTTTTGGGAACGTCAAATTTGTCAAAAAAACGTCCAAGTTTTCAAAAGTAACGTATCTGAAGTTGATTTTATTCAACAACCAACATACCAATATACAAAATGATTGCTGTGAAAAAAAACATTTGAAAAAAGTGTTACATTTGTGTTAAGCCTGTAAAGGTTACAACAGGTTTATGCAGCCGCGGTGAGGTGGTTAGTGTTCTGATTACAGAACTGAAGGTCGAAGCCGGCTATGACCATAAATGTATTATTGGTAAGTAAGGAGGCGTGAACTTCCTGGTTAAATGTTATTCCGCGGTGCTCTGTAGTAAGACCAGTAGAAGTTTTTAAAACACCTAAAAAACATAAAAAAAGAGGCGATGAGTTTTGAAAAAACATGACAAATTTTTGAGAGTAAGCTCTCGTAAATCAGCAATGATAAAAGATGGCATCTTGCATTTTCTTAAAGGTGTTAATTAACACTGTCTTTGCAGTTGTATTCAGCATTTTAGATATTTATTAAGCTAAAAAAGGGGAAATTCATTTAATTTCGCCTAGTTAAAGATTTGAAATTCCCAATCCGAACTAAGCACTTAATTAGATATTGGCAAAAATTAGCTAAATTTATCGTCTTTTAGTAAAATTATACTGCAGAAAGAAACTGCTTTTCCTGCCACAAATAGATACTATGGTGAAGCCTTTTCTTGATATTTTTTCTTCATTTACAAACCTCATTTTGGTGTTCTTTCTTCTATTGGTTTACCCTCTAACTACTTAATGTTCCTTTTTTTTTTTTTGGTTACTCTAGAAATATATTATTGGTCTTGTACGAAATTTTATTTAAAAGTTTTTCTTACATTTTTCCATTGTTACTTTTATCGCTTGAAATTTAAATTTTCAAGATTAAATCTCTTTATTTTTTAATTATAACATTTTTAAAAATGGAAAAAATCCCTAATAAAATTTAAAATTACAATGATATAATGAAAATTTAAATGGTCAATGTTAAGAAATAAAAAAAACGCTGTTATGTTATAAAAAGGTACAGAGGATAGATTGTTCTGACATTTAAACATAAAGCAAATAACTTTGAAAATGTTGGGCTCATACATATTAAGATCTTTCATTTCATTTAATTAAGTTTAATTAATTAATTAAGTAAAAAATTTAATTAATTAATTAAGTAAATTAATTCTTGAGAATAATGAGGCGTGCAACATGTTTCTGTCGACGATAAAGAGGTTGGAGTATATTTTTATAAGTATTGCTCCATGCAATGTTCGCATAGTTGATGTGATAATGAATGAGTGAGTAATATAGTTTAAGTAAAGTGTGCTTATTTATTAAACTCCTTGCTTTATATAAAATTCCTATGCTTTTTGATATTTTACTAATCCAATTTTTTATGTGATAACTCTAAATCAGATTTTTATTAAAATAAACGTCAAGAAAGTTGGTAACTGTGACTGTTTTTTAAAACTATATTATCAATGAAAAGAGATCACATGCCATATGGTATAAAAATTTTTTCGTGACTAGGATGAAAAAAAATTCATTTAAATTAACTAGTATTGAGAGGGTTTTATTTGTCTTAAACCCATAAGAAACAGTCGCTAATTCTTTATTCATAATATAAAAGAGTAATGTGATATTATTGTAAGATAAAAACAAGTTTGTGTCGTCTGCAAACAAAATCGTCATTAACCTTAAAGCTTTATGTTGATGCAAATAAGAAAGAGAAGAGGGCTTAATATTGATTTCTAAGGAACTCCACAAGTTATATTATGCAAGTTTAGTGGTGAAAGCAATTTTTATACTGCATCAACGTATACAAATTGCTTTCGTTTATTTAAATAACTTTTATTCCAGTTTAAAATATTACCACTTATACCGTAAATCTTAATTTTATTTAAAAGAATTTTGTGATCAATCGTATCAAAAGCTTTAGCCAAGTCGATAAAAACCCTAACTGCATATTGGTAACTTTCAATAGAGTTAGTTGTACCTCTAGATATAAGATCTAAAATAGATATAAGACGGTAGTTGCTAACATCAGTTAAATCTCGTCTTTTAAATATAAGAATCATCTTTGCTATTTTTAGTTGGTAAGAAAAATTCCTTGAAAAAAACGAAAAAAATCTTTAAAGTATGTTTTTTATTACTTCAATTGATTTTATTACAGTATGTACATTGACATCAGCCACACCAACTGATTTGTTTGGTTTTAGGCTATTTTGTTTGGTTTTAGCATTTTAGCATTTTAAAGGCGCTTTCGAATAAAGTTAGTTTAAATGAATTAAACTGGACGGATTAGGAATTATTACATCATCTAATGGGTTAAATACCTGTTCAGCTCATTTGCTGTCTCTTTTTGATCATGCAAAAATTTATCATTCAATTTAATGGTTTATGTGAATGTTTTTATTTTAAAGCTGCGTGTAATCTTTTTTAAAACCTCGTAAACGCGCTTTGAATTTTATTTATATTCTCCAAATAAATATATATATAAATAAATATAATAAATAGTAAATCATTGTAATAACTTTTTTTTTGATTTTTCTTTAACTTTTAAATTGCTTAGCGTAAGTTTTATATACAGCTTTACATTTAACAGTTTTTAGTTTTAGGAATTTAATGTACAATTTTTGTTTGATTTTGGAGGATTTTCTTAAATTTTTGGAAAAGTTAACACCATAAATATTAAAAAAAGTTTTAAAAAAAGTGTCATAAGCCAGATTGGCATCACCTAAAAGACTAATGTGCTCTCAATGATTAAGAGACAAGTGCTCCGTAAATGCTTCCATATCAATCTGAAATTAGCACACTAAATTTGGGGCTTAATGATAAGATTAAATTTGTCTTCTTCTAGCCCCTCTCATGTAATAATTTTTTTATAAGTTACGACTGTAAATTTTTTTTATCGGCAAAAGTGTAAGTAAATAAAAAATGCTTCATTTATTTTTACAGAAGTAACAATCATTAAAAAAGGTAAACTTTTAGACCTTGATTATAAGTTACTATTGAAATTTGCACATGATATTTTCACTGACAGTGGAACCCGTTTTTAACATATACTGTAGTTAGGTAAAATTTAAATTCTTTTGCAAAGAAAACTGTGTTTAGGGTCAGAAGAATTTTTTGAATATTTAATAAACTTTTTTTTTTTTTTGACTGTTTGACATTAATGTTGTTTTTAAAAACATTAATTGAATATGGTTAAGCATCTGCAAATGTAAAATTAAAGATTTTATTAGTAAATT